TTAAGTGTCCAGGAACTGTTTGGAGGTGCTTCACACTGATGAAACTTCGCGAACGAAATTTTGTCAGACTGTAGGATTTTGATAAATAAAATAGCATAGAATTCATATAATGTCCTTGGGTTTTTTTGGTTCGTTTTTGGTTTATCCACCGCAAAATGAGATTTTGAAAACTATGCTCGACTAAAGTGCAGATGAGCGAGTCATTTTGCACAGAATATCCATGCATTCGAAACGTTTCATTTTCATACTCACTTGATTCTCTCCTAACACAGTGGTAGCCGCTCTGAAGCTTCCTTTCCTTGCCTTTCCTTGTGCAAAAATAGATTCTGTCGCTGGAGTTGAACTAAGGGTGTGGTTCATTAGCACAGAAAGCGACTTTTGCCTCCGATAAACTACGGCAAAACCTCTGTTTTGTATTTCAACGAACAAGCGTGTTTTGTATTTCAACGAACGAGCGGAGCATTTCGCAGCGCGGAACATTTTTCGATGCGGGACACTCGGGTCCACTGATGATCAGCGGTGCCTGAGGTTCCCGCAGCGAAAAGTGTTTCGCGCTGCGAAACGTGCGTCCTAGTGAACCACACCAGTGAACTGCGCCGCGATGCCCCTTCTCCCGTCCCAACCACCCCAAAGCTCGATGTTCGCCTATACTTTCATTGGTTTTGCAGAATTCTCTCAGATAGCTCTTTCTCCTCCCACGGAAAACAATAGGTATTGAAGGCGCCTTCACTAGGAACTGAGAAATTGCATGCGAGTAATTTAGCAGACCACTTTACTCGGATTTTCAAGTCCAGTAGATCTTTCGTGCCCTGCGTGTACCTAAACTAACTAGAACGCCCAAATCAGCTCTCCTCCTACGTTATCAAAGACGGAAGAAAGGGAAAAAGATAGTCTCTTCTAGAGGCACCTGAAGTGCATCGTATAAAGACCGTCTCCTTTATTGAAATACGTTTTGCCCCTTTCATCGCAGTAAATTTCTAGTACTTCAAACAGTTCTGATTCGGTGGCTAATTATAATCAATATATGCTTAATAGGTGCAAGGTATAAGATATAGTGCCCTCCAGCTTGACGTTTTCATCAAATGGACTCTGCTGCGCTCGCTCGCTCCATTCTACATCTGCGCTACGGCGCGAAAACACGCCCATTCGAACACTATTTACCTATTGGCTCCATGCCAGCGCAATTTGAGAGCTGGTCGCGCATTCGGGATGAGGTCGTCACCCAGCCAGATTTCTTTTTGACTTTATTAGCACCTTTATCTCACGTTTCACTGTGAGAACCTACTACTTCAGGCTCTATATGCCTTTCCTTAATGGGGACATTTTTGAAATTCTTTTGCCATTACTAGTTTTTTGAAAGACCTAATTTTTGTTTACTTGCAGGAGCGACCTTGAGAAGAAGTTTAGCGCTCGTCATAAGCCGGACGATTTTTGCTTTTCTTATGAGCAGGCAATGCAACAAGAATATGATAGATTAACAAAGCTTCGAGAGAAAATTGAAAAACCTGTTATACAGGAGATGTGCAATCGGATTCATCACAGTAAGTCTGGCTAGTAATTTTGAAAGTCTGTATCTGTTCCGTGAAACTTTATTGTGATATCAAATTATTGTATTTTAGGCACTTATTCGTTGGATGACCTTGTAGAATCAATAGAGAGTTATCTCGAGGATTTCTATATCAAAGGTGAAAACGTGGAGTTTACACCTGGAACTGACAGGTAATGTGTTGCATACGTTTTTCGCTTTCTCTTTTTTGTGTTTCTGACCCATTTTTTCGAGAGAGCAAAAACGCCGTTTAGCTTTTTTTTTTCTTACCATAACTTTTTTTTCAAGATATTACGCCGAACCTTTCACACATTCCATACTTCTGGGTGTGATGCATTTAGGGTGAACAACTTCTATCTAAAAAGTGTCTTTCAAAAGGCTTAGCGTCTTGCAGGAAGAATGTCCTTGAATCTCGGCTGCTGTTGCAAGGGAGTGAACATAATACTAGGAAATGTACTACTTAGCAATTTAATCGCAAAAGTTGGGAATTGGAAGGATTGTTTCTGTTTTCAT